CAACGTTAATTACACTTTTCACATGGATGGGAAGAATTAAGCATGGAGATACCCCTTTCTAGTTTAGTAGGTTTCTGAAAAAAAATCTTTGGAGTTAAAGGGGATATGTGATAACCCACAAAGTTTTCTGAAAAATACCTTCGGAGTTAAAGGGGATATGTGATAACCCACAAAGTTAAAAGGTTTTCTGGTTTTTTGAAAGTTATGTGGGGTTATCTGATAATCGTTCAAAGTTAAGGCAGGTTTTCTGATATTTAGCCAAAAATCAATCAGACAGTTATGATTTACTTGGAGTAGAAAATGGAAATGAGCGCAATTCACATTAAGTATGACAATAGTTATGTTTGAAATGAATTGCATCCTCAATATAGGCAAACCGTTCAAAAAGTTCTCTCTGCAACCAAACAAGTAGTAACGATCTAATCAAATGCACAATACGTGAGATCGTATTTTAAAGCTACACAATCTAAACATCACCCAAAAAAAAGGACCATCAGTCATTCACAAAATCACCAGCATTTCCAAATAATAAAACAAACTTACAAACAAAAGTATCAGCTGCAATATGATCACAAAAATGCAGCCGTTGGGCTCACACAAGTTATCATCTCACCCAAACTACATAAACACCCAACATAAATTATATATCAATAAATAACAACAAAAGCGAAAGCTAGTCCATCTCTAACGTATTACTCCATTAGCATTGCCGCTACCAGCTATACTCTCCCTTTGGCCGTGCTGAGACAGTGTTGCCCTCAATCTGAAATCACCTGGTGGCTGCTGCTGCTGTTGATGCTGATACTGAGGTTGACGAATTTGCAATTGCTGCTGGTGAGTTGCCGGAAGTGGCTGCATGGTTTTGTTCTGATTCTGATGGTAAAATTGTTGATTTCCCCCGAAAGATGGTTGTCCAAAGTTCATCATTGGACCATTTGGCATCATCTGCCCAGTTGCCATTTTCAATCGCTGAACCTCCTCCCGGAGTGCATTGTTTAGGGCTACAGTAGCAACCGAGTAACATATCAGGATTGCCTCAACCGAGTAATATATAAGGTTCTAAAGCAATTGATGTAAAAAATCTATAAAATGTGAAATACAACGCATTAGATCCTACATAGATGTTTCAATGAATAAAAATACATTGAAAGTTCCCCAGATATTTCAATACTGTAAACAAATGAATAAAAGAGAAAAAACAAGGCATCTGTTTCAGTAACTTTAACCCAACTAGAGTGAAGCGCTGACCAGTGGCAAAGCCAAGATTTTGTCCCAGTTGTGTCGCCATAAAATTTATCATGATTATATGTGGATTTACATAAACAATTTTACAAATTTGTCTCTTTTAATGGTGTCCTAACCTAATTTTAGTGTTGTCCTAAGTAGTAAATACAAGCAAGTAAAAATCTAATATCTAATACTATTATAAAAGTGTGTTGGTATGTTAAAACATTTCTTCCGAAAATACCCTCTAAAATGTATACATGCATACATAAAACACATGCATGCATATACATAACACATACATACATCATAAATCATACTCATTCAAATCCCTTTCATAACCCTCAATTTAATGACATCTAACTAAAACCTCAAAACATTGTAATAAATACACCCTCATACATACATACATGAAATCATATACATAATACTTCATGCTTAATTACATAGCGTACATGAAGAGATAGCCTTTTAATTGTACCATTATATCTATTTAATGACATCTAACTAAAACCTCAAAACATTCCCATCACATAACCTCCTTTACTATTATTATAATGCAACACTAGCACCGGCTCAAATATTTAGTCCATTAAGAAGGAAAGTCATAGTATTCATTAGAGATTTCATTCACAGTGAATACCCTAACCGTTGTTAGACACAAGAGTTACATTTCCATTATTGCATGTTAAATTAAAATTAAATTAACTTAAGGTTTTATAACTCCATCAAACCCACTTAAATGACATTAATCCAATCAAAACTTTTGAAATTCTCCTCTTTTAATTGTACCAGTATATCTATTTAATGACATCCAACTAAAACCTCAAAACATTCCCATCACATAACCTCCTTTACTATTATTATAATGCAGCACTAGCACCGGCTCAAATATTTAGTCCATTAAGAAGGAAAGTCATAGTATTTATTAGAGATTTCATTCACAGTGAATACCCTAACCGTTGTTAGACACAAGAGTTATATTTCCATTATTGCATGTTGAATTAAAATTAAATTAACTTATGGTTTTATAACTCCATCAAACCCACTTAAATGACATTAATCCAATCAAAACTTTTAAAATTCTCCTCTTTTCCTATCATTATACTATAAATAAAAATTTCATCATCACCATATATATGTGTGAATCTTTCTCACCATCGTCGGACCTTCATTGTTGCCTCTCGCTCGTTGAGATTGTTGAAGATGGTGTCCGACTCTGAGACCTCCACTGTGAACTCTACCGACACCTAGGGTCGAAGAGATTATGATATTATGGTAAATTTTTAGAATTATATATATACAATATTATGCCACTTCCTTTCTCTCTTCAAATTATTAGTCTTTTCAAATGTTTACTGTGTTTCTTCTTCTTTGGTTTGGTGCACATAGACGTACTTAAATCTCAAGAACCCAAGACATCATTCAGTTCATAAAGTAAATATAAAGTCTTATCTCATCCTCTTTCTCTCTTCCAGTTATTAGCATTTTCTCATACTAATTTTCTTCTTCCATTTGGTGCAGATGAAGGAATATCATAGAAAGAAGATACCATTTGAAGGTTTGCTTCACAAAATTAAATGTTGTTCTTATTCTTTTTGAATAAAAACGTCTATATAGTGTATTTATGCAATATTATTAAAGATGTCAGATGTTTGTTATAAGGGATGTTAGTTGTGTAAAATGTAATTAAATTATGGTTTTATAATTCTTCCATTAATGGTACTTAAATTTTATTGATCCCATCAAACGTTTTCTGATCAATTTAATAGAAATAAAAATCCATCATTAATTTCCCAAATATATCTTTCTCATTTACCTTTTCTCGCTATCGCCGGACTACCATTGCAGGCGATCATCTGTCACATGAGTCCGTGTCTTAGGCCCCTGTGAACTATGGCGACACGACAGGTGGAGATTCTCAAATCATGGTAATTCTTGAGTTATTGGATTTATTTTGTATTATTTTGAAAAATAGTGATTGAAATATTTATTTCTAATCCCGAAGCAAGTGTTATCATTGAGGAGCAAGAAGAATCGTTTGCTTTTCAAGCTTCCTCTAGATAACCTGAGAGGAGTTTTAGTTTTTTACTTAAGAGAAATTTTATCTATTTTGGAGGATCGAACTTCAATTTGTAGATGTTCTATAATGCACGTGCAATTTATAAAAGTTTTTAATGTAATTTCGAGCTTATCAGGCATTGAGTAAAATCATTATTTTAATGTCAAATGAAGTAAATATTAATTTATTCTTTAATTTTTTGAGCTCAAATAACTAAATAATTTTATTTTGATATTTACGTTTGTACAATATTCTTTAATTCTTAGCACCATATGTTAATTTTGAACAATTGACTTTCCCATCAATTATTCCAAGTATCTGGAGTTTTAAAATTAAAGGTAAATTAGTTGCTAATTTTAAACAAAAAATTTAATTTACAATTAGTAAATAAAATTATATCCAACATATATAATATCAATTTTATTATTTAATTGTTTGATATATCTTTATAATATATGATTTTTTATATCTTTAGTATAATTACAACATATTCCCGATTACTTCATCAAATATGGAAAAGTAATGACTACACTATATTCCAAAATGTATATTTTAAGTCTCTTCATCATTTTCAAGCCATAGAAACGTTAAAAAAGTAAAAGAAGTATGTATACATGCAATGCACACGCAACAAGTATTGTATACATGCAATTTTCAAAAAGTAAAACTATATATATGAAAATGAGTACACGTGCAACGCACGTGCACCATACTAGTATGTATAAAACATGCAATGCCGCGGTGTCCTGTGGGACCACTACTAGGTGGCTCCGCCCCTGACGCTGACCAAGATTAACCAGGAATCTGACTTGCTAAAAACTATTGCTAAATATAAAAGTTTGTCTAGTTTCAGCAATCCTACCCAGACCGAAAGTAGATTACCAAATCCAGCTAAACCTATATATACTTCTCTGATAAGATCCGTTAGCAGAAGGGTTGCTGCAGTTGTTTTTTGCAAATTAATTTTTTAGGAATAATATGTCAAGCCATCAGTGAAGTATGATTTTTGCATATGTACCCCTCAAATCTTCAATATTTGCAAAATTACCCCTCAGATTTTGGTATTTGCAAAATTACCCCGCTCCAACTTAAGAATGTTGGTTTTTTGAACAAAACAATGTCGAAATTTCCAAAAAATTTCTATAGGTTTGCAACAATTTCCCGTTAAAAAAGTCAATTGTTAAGTGACAGGGGAAGGGGAAAAAATCAATGTGAGAGAATTGAGGGGTAATTTCACAAATATCAAGATTTGGGGGTTATTGCAAATTAGGAAGATTTGAGGAGTATATGCAAAAACTCCTATGTAGAAATATGTGCAAGAAACATTATATCCTTGAAGATTACAGTATCATGGAATTGAATCATTGATGAATGAAAGAAGTAAATGTCATAACAGCGAAATAAGAAGCACAATATCATCTAGATCTCACCATCCTGCAGGTGAACTTGCTGCTCCACTGTTTGCAACCTCAACTTCAACTCGTTATTTTCAGCAGTCAGAGCAGTAGTATCTCTCTGTCGTTTGCAACACAATTCTTGGTCAATGTGTACAAATAACCTAATTGTTCTAAGTATTAACATATGAAAGCTCAGAAAGCAGAAAATTCAACTATAGACTACTGACTTGTGAACAATACAATACATCAGGCTTATGCTTAAAAACCAGTATTCTCAAACAATGTGGATGGTGAAGCAAATCAAAATATTATTAAACGGAAAAGAAAAAGAACTCTACATTAAGATGGATGAAGATCTGTACCAATCTGCCCAGGGGTGCAAACGGTTCGGATACGGCTCGGATATGATACGTACTTTATTCGTACCCGCTTACCAATCACAGATACAAATACATATATGCCTTTGTGAGGAAAATTAATATCCGTATCTGCTAATATCGGATATCAATACGGATATACAAGAGGATATATACATGGATATACATGCGCACATGAACGGACATGAGAAAAAACTAGATAATATTGAAAAAATATAGTTCATATGGTACAATTGAGTTTGTTAATATGTTCGTTATATCTGAAAATCTAAGATTAGATCTCTTGATCATCAAAATTAACCTCAAATTTAGTAATCTAAATTCTAAAGGATTAAAACTATTGCAACTTTATGAGCAATACAGATCCAGATATTTCATTACATATCTGTATCTGTAAACATATCCTATCAGATATTGATTTTAGTAATCATACCTGTCTCCTAACAGATACAAATACGGATACGGACATGGATATTTTTCTGCATCCGTAAATCAACCAGATTATGTGATATAAGATGGTTACCAGGAATTCCCTTCTCTGAAGTAAGAACCCCTAGTATCCCTCACTAGTAGAACGACGGGTAGGAAAATACTGCATGTTTTCCATTGTTTATTTTATTTTTATTATCAAGCTTTCTTGTTCTCCAATGAAGATGGCTTGACTTCATGGTTTCCCTAGGAACCAAATAAAAGCTCCATCTTCTGTAGAATGCAAAGACAATTATTTTCAATATCTCCTTCTGCTTCTGTGAAGTTTTTAGCAACAAGAGACCTTAGTTTCAGAATTAAAGCAACGGAAAATGTAGTTACACGAAAGGCATTCATGTAATCTGTACAAACTAAGATTAATTTTAAGAAGGCTAGTTAGTTTATTGAATACCAGACAGAAGAGATATACACCTGTAACATTGACAACTGAGCCGAAAAAGTCGTTGCTTCGATTTGCAGTGTTCGCAACTTCCGCTCGAGCTCTGCAATGTATCGCATCTTCCTTTCTTTTGACCTTGTAGCCGACTGCCTGTTTGCCCAAATTCTACCACAAGACACCAGTTTACTTGTCAACACATTAAATTTACAAAAAAGGAGTAAAGCAGCAGAACACATGAAAACAGAATTTATAAAACCAACACAAATAATAAGTTAATTCAACAATTCTGACAGAGGTTATCCGCACAGCCCAAGTTAATGAAATGCTGCTTATGGTTCTTATTACAACGACTAAACCACATTGAAATTTAATAGAAAATAAAAGTGAAAGCACTTTCAAGTACATTGACATGGATAATTTCACCGAGATTGACAGATTTCCATGAATGTTCCTACCAAATTGGTAAATAGCAAAATCAAAGTTGCAGCGTTAAAACTAATAATTCTGAATTCAGCATTCATATACCTAGTTATCAATTTTACCAAACTTCAAAATATGTTGAAACAGTAGATGAGTAGACGAAGTAGTTGTTTTTTAATTTTTAAATCAGATATCTACCACGGATGACAAGTTGGTTGATAAATTTAAGTCTGCAAGACTACAAACGTGCTCCATGAATTTCAAAGGCCTAATCTTCCCTGTGAAGGAGAGGGACTTTGCCTTTGTAGAATTCATACACACCAATTAACCTTAACGGGCTTAAGAAGATGTTCAAAATTTCCTTTGGGTGCCACATCATGAAACATACCCACACCAAAAAGATAATACGCCCAAACTATAGATTTCAACAATATGCATAGAACACATTTTAAGATACTAGTATGCAACACATGTTTTGCACGTGAGCATGCTAAGAAACCACATGAGTTGGAACATTTGAAAGCCAAGTAATATTCCACATGCAATCTTGTGACTGTTTATGAAACACATTCTTCACATAGAGTAGAAGCTGCAATGTAACTTCAATTTCAAGAAGCAATTCGCTAAATAAGTTCTCAAATGCATAAGTTTCTAATATGTGATGAGAGATTGTTATTCACCAAATAAGTCCAAAAAAATATAATGTGCTATCAAAGAGAACATCGTTAATTATCTTAGACATACTTTAAATAATTTATCACTCATCACTTTCTATTTTAATCTTTTATCTTTCATGTTATTTTCTATTGTTCGTATATTTTTCATGTTTATCATACTCTTTCATTTCAATGCTATGCCCTTGAAATCCTCATCTTTATTGCATTATATTGGTTTGAGATCCGCTGGGATTCAAATTCTCTACATCCTCAATTGTAGAGAATCCCTATAACTTGGGTCATAAAATGCTCTACATCCTTGATTGTAGAAAATGCCTATGACTCACCAATAAGCTCTTCTTATTTTCTAGACCCTATAAATTATATTAATTACATAAATTATATAAAAACATCCCTTAGCTATGAGGCCTATCGGACGAATCAATATATCGATCCACATAAATAACTATAGCCATTATGTGTAGTGGTGTATAGGATCTCTTCTCATTTATTGGAGGAGTTCCTTTTAAAATGTTGATAAGTGTATTTTTTATATGGTTATTATGAAACCTCATTTATTGTAGAACCTCTAATGTTATTTTTTTTCATTACAACACACCTGCTATCAATGTTATCGATAGCGAATAGCGTCGCGTAGTGGTGAGGCATCACTAAGGCTATTTCGGACTATTGCGGTAAAATAACGATAAAAAGCGTAAAGTTAAATAGCGGTCTAATTTAGATATGTATAAATACTAAAAAAAATTAAAGAAAAATCTAAGAAATCTAAAAGTACATATTGGATGATTTAAAGAGATCCTAAACATGAAATAGATATGTAACCATCACATAATACCGAAGATGACTGGAGGAGTCAAAAAGTTATCGTCTTCGAGAAGAATAGCTAAACGGTGACAGGACTGCCCTAAGAGGAGATTACGGTGAAGGAGGTGAGAGGAAGTATCAAGGTAGGTGCCAGAGGCTATGAGAAGTGACGGGAGTATGCTGAAAATCACATGAGACGATGAAATACAATAGCCAATGGTTAAGTTTAATTTTAAAAAAATAAACCTCAAACCGCTTTTAAATAGCAGTCAAAAAGCAAATTTCGAATGCAATCGCTCACTATTTACCGTTATGACACACTATTAGCCGTTTTTGCGAACAGACATATTCTATAATATGTCACCGCTATTGCGCGATAGCGTAACGGGCGATAGCGTCGCGGGAAGGGACCGCTAACGCTATTAGCGCTGCTATTGCGAGTATTTACCGCTATTTATAATAGTGTCTGCTATTATAAAATCTGTTATAATCCATTCAATTTCTACCATTTTCTCTAAAGTACCCTTCAATAAAGCTTCTTTCTTTCCTCAAACTATTGGTAAACCATTTTCCCTCTCTTAACATCAAATCCAAGTAACATCGACAATTAACAAAGAGAAAATTAATAGAAAATTAATAGAAAATCAAGATAATCTCTTCAACCCTTCAATTTTAGCCTCTATTTGTGTAATTTTTTTATTTCTATTTGTGTAACTTAAACACATATAAATAAAAGGCCAAGGTCCCATGCTTGTATATACCACAATTTATTTAACTATCTAAAGCAATAGGGAGGACAAGGAAAATTAGTGGAGAATTTTAAATTTAATAATGAAGGTAAAAATTCATTTCTATTAGATTATTCCGGTGTTTTGTCCATATATAATACTAGAATTTGAACTAAATTAAGACAGCTCTTCCAATTCTAAAGTGCACGTTCTGCAATTCTCAAGTTCAAAACTTTATATAGCTTAAAATCAAGTAGAAAGTTACTATTTGAATCAACTTATTCGAATAAACAAATATGTAATAAGTTACACTTTCTAGATACTATAGCACACCATAGTCTTTACATATATCAGGAAGAACAAATGCAAATTTGTGATGAGCAAGTTTACTGATTAGAGGCTTATAAAACATGGATAAGATAATTATTGTTTGGCTGAATGAGGTTCTTAAGAGCAAGGGACATGCTTTTCCAAACATAATTTATCATATTAGCTTATGTTTAAGTTCTGTCACCAATATCCTAACTTCTATTCATGAATATAATAATATAAAGATTGTCATTGATAGGAAAGATGTTGAATAAGCATCAAGCAATTGAAAGAAAGGATATTACAAGAGCAAACATTTAAATTGGTTTAATCTTGGTAACCAAATACACAACAACAAAGAAAGTTTCCTAGACATCGCACTTTAGTTTTTCCTAAAGACTGTTGTTTTTCCTATAGAAATATTGATTATAGCCAGCTATCTGGAATGTGCTTTAAAATATTTATAGTTGCTAGTAAAAAAGTCTATACACATTGAAAATTTTGCTATAAATACTACAAAAGAAGGGAAAAACAATCTCTAAAAACATAGTTCAAATAAGCCTCTCGGCATTGGGTAGTCCATTCAATTTGAAGACATACTGAGAGATAATGGTGTAGATGAAGACATTGACAATGTTGTTTCAGCAGAGTACTCCGTCAAGCAGGAGAAGGGATTGGGGGGAGAATGTTGAAGGTCACAGTGTCATGTGGAGTTCTCAACAGAGAATTTCGTCGAACATGTGGCGTCTAAGAGGATGTATCGAAAGTAGCACAAACAAAGTCTGAGGGATGTTGAAAGTCACAGTGTCATTTGGAGTTCTCAACAGAGAATTTCGTCGAACATGTGGCGTCTAAGGGGATGTATCGAAAGTGGCACAAACTAAGTGTGAGGGTTGTGAAGGGTAGATGGCTGCCATCGAAGGGGGAGAGGGAGAAGAAGAGGGGATGTGGGGGCCAACGTAAAGGTTGCCAGAACAGATCAGCTATAAAAGGCGAGAGGCAGAGTTTGTAGGTGGTGGAAGACGAAGTGCTGAACTGCTTATGGGTTTGGGACAAAGAAATTAGGTTTTAGGATATATCCAAGGATGCTATTCATGGAGAACTGAAAAGATTAATTAAAAACAGTACTAATTACAAGGAGATATAATTGAGTGGAGGTAGTTGAAAGGGCACAGTTAATGATAACAGGAGAGAGTTACGAATTGAGAAGAGAGGAAGTCCAAAGGCCAAAGCTACATAATTTTTGCCAAATGTAAAGTTGAGAATTAGTAAATTAATTTAAGTTAGAATTATTATATTTTAGAGGGGTAAAAAGGGCACTCAAAAGTTTTAACACCCTAGTCCTCCTTTATATGTAGTATAGATTTTTCATCACAATGATTCAACCGACATGCCCAAGGTTCTCTGGCATGAATGTTTTGTTCTGCTCTGTTTCATGGAAATTTGCGACAATCCTATGGCTAAAGTTAAAACACGCTTTGTGCACCTTGATTAACTAGATAAAATTTTTTGAGGTTGTAATTAGTTTATGGGCTTCAGATGATACACAACAAAAGCAAAGATTCAGTTCTGTGCAAGAATATAGTGAGGTTGCCAATGAGCCATTTGGTTTTCCATGTATCAATAGACGTTCATCCAGTCAAGCTAACAATAGTCCCATTGTTCATAGACATGCCAACAAAACATAGTCCTGGTCTCATCATAGCGTGAAATTGCATCAAAAGTGACAGCCATGTTCATCACTTGTATAAATATTCCCGTAAGGAGGTGTGCACACCAATTTGTCGCTGCATTGCCAACCGTTCAACAAGACCGAGTACATAGGCTCATGAAATACTAAGTTAAAGGCAATGTCTTCAACTAAATCATACAATTTTGTTTGAACAAAGAATGTGCTGGAACTTCTATTTAAATTTCTCGATAAAGCTAATGAATGCTTCTTAATGTCTTCATGGTGTAAATTTGTTGCCACAAGGGGCTGTTTGGTTGTTGTTGGTAAAGTTGTGTATTTATGACACAACTTGGAAAGTTGTTGTCCACCTCATCAATTTCACTGAGCAACTTTTCTTTGTTTGTTTTTTATTCCATTGGAATCATAAATTGCTTGTTTGGTTTGCAAAATATAACTTTAATTGCTTGTTTGGAAAGTATAAAATGTGGTTATTATGTGGTCCATACTCAAATAATTCCATTGGCCTAGCCCCCTCACTTCTGACACATATGTCAGCTTTCCTTCAAAATCAGACTATTTTGAAGGGATTTGTGAATCCATGCCACATCAGCATAGTAAATCACTTTACACTATTTTCACAACTACAAACAAACAATTGAAAAGGAGGAAAGCTGACATTGGGACCCACTTTTTTACACTTTCCATCCTTTTACATAGTAAAAACTTACAATCAAACAGCCCCCAAACAAAGGGACAACTGCAACAGCTACAATTTCACATATTTTCGTAGTTTGAGAAAATTTCAATATCTCCCCTCAAAAGAAGGCCAAATTAAGAATAATGATAGTCAAGCCTAGCAGAATGAGGAAATACCCTTGATGCTTGAGAATCTAGTGATTCACATTATTAACACTTAATCTCGACAAATATACATGCATTTCTCCAAAAAAAACCCTGATAATACTTCCATCAACCGCATTCCCAACTTAAGATTTACAATCACAAACTACCCACTACACATCAATCAATCAAAATGGCATAAATTATCAACATGAAATAATAGAAAGCCAATATACCAAACCAACCTCTTGGCCTTTTTTGGATCCACAAGCGCGAGTTCTGCAAGCTTCGCTGCGGACATAGCTTTCTTTGCCTCTGCCAAAGAGGTTGGCCCTTCCGAATTCGCCCCAAGAAACTCCGTCGACCCATCCATCGACTGACTATGCTGGTGCCTAACCCTTGGGTTCTCATTCCTCAAATCAGAAGAAGAAGAAGAAGAATAAGCACCACCATTGCCAGCGCCAACCACCGCAGCCTCCGAGCTTTCACCCCCAAGCTTATCCATATCCAAGTACATTGCCAAGAAATCATCTTCCATCTCGTCGGCGGGCCCCACAATGCCGAGATCACCATCCAAATTGAGGTCAACAGGGAGGCTGGGGATCTCCGACTGGGCCCGGCGGTGGCCGGGGTTTCGAAGGGGGAAATCTGACATCCCGCTGATGTCATGGCTGAATATATTTGAAGAAGAAGGGGATAACACGTCCTTCTCCATGGACGTTCAGGAAACCCTAGTTTCTGCGAATGAAGTTGTTGAAACCCTAGAAATTTCGAGCGATCACTGCGAGAATGAAGTTATTGAAACCCTAGATTTTGAGAAAATACCTACCTTAAAAATGGGGATTGCTCAAGGCCGATGAGAATCCGGCAGCGCCAGAGCGATGAGATCCGAATTCAGAATTGGGAGAAAGGATTAGAAGCCGTTTTTACCCCCCAAAACAAAAATGGCAACTCGACACGAGGTGAAGTGCGGCGTTTTGGAAAAATGAAAAAAAAAATTACAACTTGACACTTGGGCTCACCTTTTCACCCATTGCGATCATGTTCGCGCCACTCGGAACCAGGTCATTTGCGCCATCAGATTTTTTTTTTTTTTTCTCATCAGGAACCTCTTAGGGGCTGTTTGGATGCCTTTAGAAAACTAGAGTATTTATGACACAAAATAGAAAGTAGTTATCCACCTCACCACTTTCCATTCGAGTGTTTACATTGTTTGGTTAGGAATATTTGTGAATCCTAAAATAATAGTATTACATTGTTTGGATAGTAAGTGTTTACATTGTTTGGTTAGGAATATTTGTGAATCCTAAAATAATAGTATTACATTGTTTGGATAGTATAATGTAAACTAGAGTATTTATGACACAAAATGGAAAGTGGTTATCCACCTCACCACTTTCTACAAGGTTTTGACTTTTTTATTATTATTTTGGACACATTTATGACATTGTGTAAGCTTTCCAACAAAATCACTCCTAATTTTGGTGATTTTTCTTTCGGTGACACCTCATCAAAAGGTGTAAGCTTTTCATGTAAAAGAGAATTTAAACAAACAATGTAAAGTGATGAAAGCTAACGTTAAGACCCACTTTTTTACACTTTCCATCCTTTTACATGATAAAAACATACAACCAAACAGCCGGATTAAAAATGATGTTTTCTTCGGTCCGACTCGTGGAGATTGGGAGTCCTAATCAGCAAGCTTCCAAGAGCTCTCAAGACATGGCCCACCATTTCCAATGCCACATCACCCTCTAACTAATGTTTATCTCCAACAAACTCTTAGTTAGGAGCTCCACAATATCAAAAAAACCCTCTTCTATTTTAGTTTTGTAACAATATCAAAAAAACCTTCTTCCATTTAACAACTATTTTCAACTTGGGTTTTGGGTTTAAAAGTAGGGGGGTTTTTGTAAAAAAAAAAATTTAATGCTTGGGAGCTCCTAAGCGCTCCACAAATTTGTGGAGCGCTTGGGAGCTCCCAAGAGCTCCGGTGGGCCCCACTGGCCACATCAGCCTAATGAGCCCCTTGGGAGCTTACTGGGAGTTTGTTGGAGGGGGTTCACGAGCTCCCACCGCCACGTAGGCCTTGAGAGCGACGGTGGGAGCTTGGTGCACTTGCTCTTAGAGTGTGTTTGGTTGCTTGCAAGTGCAGTTGCAATGTAACTCGCAGTTGTATGCAACCGAGGTAATTGTAACTAACACTAGTAGAAAAACATATATTCTAAACGGAAATTTTTCCGTCTAGAATGATAATAAACTAGACAGAATATTTCCGTGTAGAATAAAACATTCTAGACGGAAAATTCCGTCTAGAATAGTATTTTAAACGGTTCCTTTATTTTTTATTTTTTTTTAAATAACCAGATATTCTAGACGAAAATTTTTATCTAGGATACAGCGTTGACGGAAAATTACGTCTAGAATACCTACTGGTTATTTTTTAAAAAAAATTAAACCCGTCAAAACCTCCAGCCGCCCTCCTTTCCGTCCAAAATGGAAAATTTCATTTAAAAAAAATTAAACCCGTCAAAACCTCCAGCCGCCCTCCTTTCCGCCCAAAATGGAAAATTTCATCCCAAAATCGAAGGCTTTCGTCTCTGTCATGGAGATCGGGTCCTGCATCCTCTTGCTCGTTCTTCGCGTCGAAGAATCCGATGATCCATGGCGATCGATCTGAAGAGTCGAAGATTGACGTGGATTTTCCCATGACGAGGTTGATTGATGCGGGGCTTATTGGATCTGCAAGAGGTTAGGGTTTCTCCTCGATTAATTAGGGTTAGATTTATTCCAGAGGTATTTTCTTGAAATTCTTTGTCTGGAGATTGGGATTGATTCAAAGGTGTATGAAATTTAAATGAGCCGGATTAAAATGATAATTACATGGACAAAGCTTGAAACTTCATTCTACAAGGCATTATTTTTACATTGCTATGTATTTCTTTTTCTTTTTTTTTTAGTTTATAAATTTTCGTAGCTGTGGAATATTGTTTGGCCCTGTCAAGTACTGATGTGCTTGGCTTTATTAGATAAGCTATCCAAATTTGTTTCACATCTTTTGAGATATGAAGGATCAATTATGCTTTTGTTTCCTGTTACAGATCCTTGCGACCAAATTGGTCTTGTTCCACATATTCTGCATATGGCCTGTTAGATTTTGACTTGATTGGTGAAGTGATTATTCAATTTACTGGTAGTTTTTTTTAGTTTCAGCATATTATATTTGTAGATAGAGCTGCAACTAGATAGGATTTGGTGCTTAGTTGTTAGAACTGGAATCCTAGTTAAGCCCTACCTGATCTCTTGATCAGATGACTGCTGGGCTGAACAAAAAAAAAAAAGACTGGTAGGCTCAGTTCATTTTGCCAACTGGATACATTCACTAGAGCATGCTGCTAATTAGCAGGATTTATTTTGTTTCCCAACTTGGAGTAGGGTTTCTATAAGAGCTTATGAATTATTAACATATACGCACTAGAGCAACTTCTAAGTGTGATCTGATCTGCATATGAGTTTATTGTGTGTGCATAAATCATGGATACGAAAAACATTAACCTAACCTTCCTATAGCTTGAGATGTGATTTCGTGCATTTGCTGCAAAACTGATCAGTGCCGGTTGAAATTGAGTTGGAAATGGATAATATTAGCTCGATATGTGCATAGTTATTTAAATGAGTGGGCTCACTTGTGTGTAACTTGTTTTAATTTTGAGTGCGTGCGCGCGCGCATACAGTTTTTCATTTCCCCCCCATGTTGTCAACCATGGAATAGAGATTATTACAGGTTTTATTCCATCAGGGGAAATGAAACTTGTTACATGTTACGAACTTACGAATCATATACAAAGTAGTTTCACATAAATTTTAGTGATCAATTAATTTTCATAATGTTGTCAGCTTCTTGCTTTTCTTGTTTCTCTCTAATTTAGTCATAGAAATTAGTAAATGCGCAGCAGTAGTTCATCTAAAGGAGAATTATGGATGTATTGTTTTCAACATCCTGAGAGTTCAAGATAGTTTTGAAATCAACCATTTTCTCTCCCTGCTAATGTTGAACGCGGAGCATGATAAGTGTTCTTCTTCTTCTTCTTCTTCTTCTTCTTCTTCTTGGTAGCTTATATTCAGCAGACTTGTCTTCAGATTTGGTAACTTAGCATCCTACTGACATTTAATATAAGGGTTTGGTTGGATTCTTGATTGTTAATCGATCAGTGTTGTTAATGCGCGAGGCGCAATACGGGGCGCAAAGCATCTTTACGCGCACATGCGCAAGGCGCAACGCGATGCGCGCGCCCGAGTGATGCAAGGCGCACACCGCACACATAATATTTCAATATATGTAATCAAGCGCGAAAGAACATGTTTTTAGAATTTACATAAAAAATATTATGATAAATAATATCTTACTACAAAATCATAATATATTGCCTTAATTTATAATGCTAACACCCAACATAGTAGCAAATTTCATAAATTTTCAAATCAAATGTTAAATCAAGACTAATATCCAAACAAAGGATTAGTAATGGTCCTCAATTGAAGGTTATTAAAAAGGCCCAATGGATTTATTTTGCTTTTTGGGATATGAAATATCAAGTATAAAAACTCGATTGAAATGTTAACAAACAAAACTATATGAGAAAATATACTACATGCATCATACACAAAGTACGGATGTACGCGAGGCGCAAAAGGCGCTGCTGCATCAGATGTGGGGTGCTTTGCCACCGCCCCGCATCGTAAGGCGCATGAAGCGCAATGAGGCGCGCGCCTTTAAAAACACTGTAATCGATCTGCTTCTAGTTTTGTTTTTGTTGCTGTCATTGTCTCTCTTTTTTCTGTTTGTCATGTAGATGACTCTCAAAATATCTGGTTATAAAATACAAATTAGATCAGTAGGTTTTTTTTAGATGACTATCAAAATATCTGACTATTCAAAAAAAAAAGACAATAGCAGAACTCATCATTTTAGACCGACTTTTTTTTGTAGCTACCTTTAGCACTCAATTGATAAAATTTAACGCTCAATTTGCTAAAAAGATCGCTATGGTTCCAACTTTGTAGCTGTCTTTCCTTTGTTTTTATTGTTTCTTTCAGTGCAATCCAAGCAACTCATTGTCTCCTAATCAAGAAGCAACAAACTGAGGACTCGGAGTTGGTTTTTAGTCAAACCAGGGATGCGAATGAACAAGAAATCTGTCTTGATGTTTTCTTCGGTCCGACTCGTGGAGTCGAAAACGCGGTCGTTGCATCATTTAGATCAACATGTTCCACATAATTTTTTATAAGAAAAATTCTGTGAGCATGAAGGCTAGGATTTGAATGCTGTATTAATTTCCTGAATTGACATATTTATATATCTCCGTTCATTTCTATTCAAATTCAACGTGCACAGATAACATGAATTTGACCACTTGAGCAGAGATTATTTTTGAAACCGTTGAGCTAGTGCCAAACTCATCATTTTTCTTATACTTTACTCTTTGTTTTCGTAGTTTTGGCGCAAAACTGCAGAAAGTATTTGGGTTCACAATTTTCAATCATAGCGTGTCTCATCTGAAAAAATAAAATAAAAAAGGGAAAAGGCTTCTAACTACTATATGGGATAATCATATGTTTGGTAAAAATATGATCATCCGTAATAGTTTATATGTTTATCATAGGACTATAGGACAAAGTAGCCTTTAAAGTTAGTAGCCATAAGATATATTACCTGAGTTTGGTTTTGCTCTCATGCTTTAATTTATGAACTTCAGGGTCACTTGGTTGCCAAGGCATCAACATTCCCTTCAGGCATAAAAGCTCTTGCAGATTATGTGCCTGACAAAGGGCTAAAGCTTGGAATTTACAGTGATGCTGGGTAAAAATCTAAATTTATTAATCTGAGATCATCAACTCCGATACATTTATGTGTTTGTTTAAGTAGTCGTTTTTTGCTCACCATCTTTTATAACGGGTCTTCTTTATGGATCAGTTTGTACATATATTGATGCATTGCTTGTGTCCTTATGTTACACTCAGAATGATGAGGAAGAACGTGAAGAAGGAGAAGAAGACGGTTTGAGTAAATGTATAGGGAAGGAGTTGAAGAAGCTTCTGCAGTGTCATAGCCATTGTAAATAATTTATGTAAAAGTTTGTAAACAATTTATGTATCTCTCTACTATTTTGGTGAATGTATTATTTGAATATAATTGGATTTGATATTGGAATATAATTAGATTGTGTTGGATATGAATATAATTTTTTGTTGTTCAATATTGTGTACATGCACTCAAAGTAGATTCTGCAAAAAAAAAAAATACTGTAGCATAGCATCCTAGACGGAAATTCCGTCTAGGTTGCTTAAATTCCGTCTAGAATGTTTTATTTTAAAAAATAATTAAAAAACATCCTAGACGGAAATTCCGTCTAGGATGTTTATCCTAGACGGAAATTTTCGTCTGGGATACCCATCCTAGACAGAATTTTTTTCCGTCTAAGATGTAGTATTCTAGACGGAAATTCCGTCTAGGATGTATTCTAGACGGTTTTGAATTCCGTCTAGAATAATCCGTCTAGGATGTATTCTAGATGGAATTTTCGTCTAGAATACTACATCCTAGACGGAAACTTCCTAGACGCGTATTCTAGACAGAATTCCGTCTAGGATACTCATCCTAGACGGAATTCTGATTTTCCTAGATGAAATTTTCCGTCTAGGATGCCTCATTTTTTGGTAGTGTAATTGGAGTTGCAATTGATTGGTACAACTTTAAAATCTTGCAGCTTACACATGCAAGCATAGTCGCAGTTGTTTGTTTGTATTTGCAACTTCCCAGCCGCAACATGTTTTCACTTGCAATAATATACAAAATATATAGACATAAATCATTTAAAATAGAAGAAGACTTTCATTTGAGATAAACAAACAAATATATTCATTTAATTTCTCAGAAAATTTGAAATATTGCATGCTAAACTCTAAAGAAATAAACTTGAGCATTGATCATTTAAAATAAAAATAGAAGAAGACTTACATTTGAGATAAAAAAAACAAATATATTCATTTTATTTCTCTGAAAAATTAAAATATTGCATGCTAAACTCTAAAGAAATAAACTTGAGCATTGAAATGAATTTTGTTCTATATTTTGTGGCTACAATATTTACTTCGCATACACATTTACGCTGGGAAGAGCATGAAATCTCTCACATGTCACATACAGATCTTAAGAATTTATGTCTTGGCTTGTTCTCTAGAAAAGAAAACTACAAATATAATCTTTTCTACCTGAAAAAAAACATTGTCAAGATAAATAAAAAAAGAAATATTATATAATAGACGCAACACAATTAATTACCTCAAGTGCTCTTCTAGGAAGGCTTAAACATGCTACCATCTCAGTTCTAGTTGTAAATAAGTAAAAAAGCATACAATATTTTTGAACTTCATAAAAAATCATAACTAATAGAAGGTCCCAGTAGTAATTAAGATATTACAATCATCCTAAATAAATAAAGCATAGTCTAAATATTTAAATTATTACAATGATCCAAAGGTTTAGAAGTTCTCGATACAATAGCGTCAAGCATGAAGGATTAGAGCGTACTTACCCCCATTTTCTCTAAAAAGTTATTGATCCAAATTACCTTTTGCTTATGGGATCTCATAAGAAAACCTGTCGCGATGGAAGTATGCTCCATTAAAAATTTGCATGGCTTTTCTAGGTCATGTTGCTTAAAGCTCTGAAGCTTTCCCAACTCTTCAATTATCTTTCTTGCTATTTCATTTTCACCTTGATGTTTCATCAACATAACCTCAGAAACTCCACAAACCCCCGTAGCCATTTTCGAGATCATCTCAAGTTGTAAATCTTTTATTTTCTTTTCACTTTTAATTTTGTTCTTAACTTTAGATCCTTGAGATGTTGATCCACTGGGACCACGAGTTGAAGATTGTGTTGAAGTACCCCTAGATGAGGTGGAATCATTACGGTCAATTATATCCATATCTGCCATCATGTCATTAGTTTCATTGTCATCCTCCATTACTTCCTCAAAGTCTTCTAATCCAATAGGCTGATGATTATAAACAATGTACTTCCCCATTGTGTGATCGTTGCCGCATATCAAACTCATTTCTTCATAGAACTAGATAGGTTTATTAATGAACGACTCGTCCTTTGGATTTTCTTATACAAAGATTAAGTCCACAATAATAAATATTATTTTTATTATTGGTTTTATGAATTATGTAAATTTATACATTACCTCGATGTATGTAGAATATTCCTATTGACCCATTAGGATGATTTTGTTTTCTTCATCCCATCCAACTCCGCGCATCTCTTTTAGCCTTTGAATTCTAACCCACCTTGTTTTTAGGGTCCTTCAATGATTGTAAGCGTTATTCTCTGAAATGTTGATTCCAAATTCTTTATTGATATGCTTTGCTGCAGCATTATAAATGGGAGCTTTGAATCCCTTGTCAACTTTGCATCCACCACATACTTGTTCTATCAAAAATAATATTCATGACTTTAACCATTGAGGTTTCCAACGAATGTTTGGAATCCCTTTGGGAGAAACTTGTTTCACCCTCTTTTCGCCAACTTGATTCTCCACTTTGTTCAAATGTTTCTATGGTATCATTAATTTTCTACTTGCAAAAAGATACAAATTATACAATATTCAACAAATAACATAGTAAAAGACATAAATAATATTTTAAAATATTACATATCATTACACACTTCTATTAGCGCACATGTCTTTGGCTATTAGCTCACGCTTTTGCAACCACTCTCTTGCCTCATCTCTTTGCTCTCTCACTGACCGTCTCACTTGAGGAAGGTTTTGATTAGCTCATTCTTCTTCAGAAAGAATCAACTCATCTCTACCATTTGTGATAACAAAATTATATATAATACAATAAAAAAGTACAAGATCCACTTGGGTGCGTAAAGGGAAAAAAGGTCTTGATGCTAGAATTTTGAAATGATATTTTAAGGAACTAAATGCTCTCTCTACAGAACTACGCAATGATGAATGTCTAAGATTGAATAGTTCCTCGTAGTCTATGGGTGAACGTTCACTATACTCATGAAGATGGTATCGAACTCCACAATATGGTGCGATAAATCTTGCTTTTGTTGAGTAACCAGCTGTGAAAACGGCGAAGGAATTGTGAAAAACGTGAAGAATAACCCAAAACAGACTCCACCACACCCTGGTGTGGTGTCTGCCATGGGTGTGGTAGAATCTGTCCTGCACCACACCCTCTGCCACACCCATGGTGCAGGGTGTGGCAGACTCGTTTTTAGAATCCCAATCAGTTTGGGATTGTGTTTTGCTATAAATAGAGACACGTTTTTTAGGGTTTCCTAGGCTTGGTTTAGGCTTTGATTAAGCATTGATTGGGGGCTATTTGGAGCACAAAAAGAGGTATTTTTGAGCTATTTGTTTAGGGTTTTATTTGGAGAGATTAAGAGTTTTGTTGGTGAGATTAGTTTGTTCCTTCGAGTGATTTGTAATCTCAGTTTGTACTCTTTCTCTATTAGTGAAAACCCCATCCCCCCTTGCCCCGTGGACGTAGGCAACTTGCCGAACCACGTTAAAATTGGTGTTTTGTTTGTGCATTAATTTTGGTTAGTTTTGGCCCTCTTTGATCGGCGTTTGGTTTGGTTCCTCGACACGGTTTTCAACAACAATTGGTATTAGAGCACAACAATTGGTATCAGAGCAGATTGATGTGGAAAAGTTCAATGGCACAAACAATTTTGGACTTTGGCGATGCGAAGTCATGGATGCGCTCAACGCGCAAAATTTGGAAGATACGTTGGAGTTGGACGGGAAACCGGACAACATTGATGAGAAGGTTTGGAAAAAGATGAATCGAACGGCGTGTGGTGTGATTAGGTCTTGTCTCACTCAAGATCTAAAGTATGATGTGATCAATGAGACTTCTGCAAAGAAGATTTGGGAGATCCTTGAGAGCAAGTATTTGACCAAGAGTGTGGAGAATCGCTTGCATTTGAAGAGGAGGCTTTACCGCTTCCAGTTGAAGAAAGGAACCTCCATTGGTGATCACATGAACCACTACACGAAGATTCTTGCGGATTTGACGAATGTAGATGTGGTGATTGAAGATGAGGACAAGGCGTTGTTGTTGCTGAGTTCCTTGCCTGACGAGGAATATGAGACATTCGTTCTTACTCTTATTAATGGGAAGGCATCTCTTTCGTATAGTGAGGTCACCGCTGCACTTGTGAATTATCAGCTTCGAAAGAAGGATAAGGAGACTTCGATTGAGCCGGTAGCGGGGGCCACATGAACCACTACACGAAGCTTCTTGCGGATTTGGCGAATGTGGATGTTAAGATTGAAGATGAGGACAAGGCGTTGTTGCTATTGAGTTCCTTGCCTGACGAGGAATATGAGACCTTCGTTCTTACTCTTATTAATGGGAAGGCATCTCTTTCGTATAGTGAGGTCACCGCTGCACTTGTGAATTATCAGCTTCGAAAGAAGGATAAGGAGACTTCGTTTGAGCCGGTAGCGGGGGCGTTGGTCGCAAGAGCAAAGGGTCCAAACCGTAGTGGGAGGTCGCAGTCTAGAGGGGCACATCTTGGAGTTCGTAAGAATCAATGTGCCTTTTGCAAAGAAGATGGACATTGGAAAGCCGATTGCCCAAAGTTAGTTGATCGAGCCGGGAAGAATAAGGGAAAAGCTATTCAAGCTTCAGAGGCGAATGTTGTCAAGGCTAGTGGCAACGATTCAGATTCGGATTCTTCGGGCTACTCGTTATCTGCACTGCCGTCAGTTTGTGTTGCCTACTCTACAGAGTGGATATTGGATTCGGGTGCTACATACCACATTTGCCCTAGGAGGGATTGGTTCTCCAGCTTTCAGGAGTTGGAAAGAGGGGATTTCGTGCTCATGGGGAATGATCACAAATGCTCTATTGGTGGTATTGGTACTGTTCGGATCAGGATGAGTGACGGGGTGATTCGGGAGTTGGTTGGAGTGAGGTTCGTTCCTCAGTTGAAGAAGAACATCATTTCACTTGGAGCTTTGGAGGCAGCAGGCTATAGGGTGGGGTGACCTTGGCGGATGCACGCTTGAAGGTTACATTTGGGTCCATGATTGTGATGAAGGGCGTCAGAAGAAGAAATTTGTATTATTTGCACGGAAGCACGGTGATTGATAGGGAAATGACGACTTTATCAGATTCGGCTAGACTGTGGCATTGTTTGGTGCTGGGGTATATGATTAGTAATGCCGTGCATTGGTTGTTGAGGAGTGCTATGACCTGCAGATT